AAATAAGGACATGTGAACTTATGTTTCGTTACTTTGCTGTTTAATAAAACTGAAAGTTCAATATTGAAAACTGAATGATGAATTTTAAATGCGGAATACTAAATTTTTAATTTGTGGACCGTTTGCTGTCCACTGAAATTTATGTACTGAATTGAACCAAATGTTGGATAACTACATAGAGCTAGATGAAAATAAATTAATTTTCAGTTTTACCTTCTACTCTTTACTTTGAAAATATTTATAAAATATAAATTTATTTAAATAAAAAACGATAATATATCATTACAAGTAATTTATAACATAAATCGTAATCATTATTATCATATTGTTGTCTACATTTAACAAATATGATAATAAAATTAATTCAAGTTAAAATTAATTCAAGTTATATTAGTCACTTAAAACTGCCAATTAATCACTTAAAAATTACAATTAAGATACCAATCAGGAGTTTAATTGTCTTGCAATTTGCTCACACAAATTAAAAGTATTAAAGAACACAAGTCAATTAACTTTCAAATGTAGCTGCTCATTGACATTCTCAAAAAAAAATTAAATAAATAAATAAATAATTAGTCCAATACAAAGAAAGAATTGAACTAGAAAAGTATTGAACAATAACAAATTCAACAAACACACATAAAATAATTGAACAAATCTGATTAAAAAATTGAATAAATAAATTGTTAACCAAACAAAGTAAGAATAGAATAATAAAAATAAATAAATAATAGAATAATCGAACAATAATAAATATTAAAAAAATTGAAAGAGTTAAAAATAGAACAACGACTTGACCAAATATTTGTGGGTGCTCAAACTTAATCATTGTGTGTGTAGTACATTGTTGTTTGTGGTATTACAAACATAATAAAATCATTTATTAAAATTTCTTATTTGTATTGTGCAACTTAGAATAAACAGTAATAGTCAAGTGCAAAATACTAACAAAAAAAACTGAAACAGTTAACAGTTACACGTAACTATTTGTCAAACCAATATAAATATTGATTCGGTAGCAGACTAGGAATTGGGATTAAATTTTTTGAAGATCAAGGCTAGTGTTTGACACTATACCCTTAAGACAGATTTTGCCCCCACACACAATGCTTATGGAATGCAAAGCATCTATCTCCTAGGATAGAATGATCTTCACACGAGTAGAATGAACACTCAAATATACTCGTCAAGCGAACAAGAAATTATGTTGTGTATTCTCTTAATGCCAAAATATAATGTACTAATATCTACCTTAACTCTGAAAATGGACTGATGAATTGATACAGAATGGTAATGATAGCCTGGATATTTATAGACAGTCTGGTAATTGTTCCGAACATACACCATGCGAAAAGACACAACCTAAAAGACACATGCAGACATAAGACACTACTTATGTGACTGCTTTCTATGAACAGACACAATTCAAAATTTTGGTATGCAAGGGAGTTATAATTCGAATCAATATGAATTCAAATCTTACAGGTACCAAAATTAAATGCTGGATTAAGAAATTCACGCAAATTTATTAAATAAATTTTCTCCAAAAAAATAGGATTTGGTCTAAACTACACCCATACCCGTACCCGACCGGGTCTTGGAGGGTGACGTACGCGCGAGTATGTGATTGAACCGAAAGCATGTAGGCACTCGTTTCGCTCATAATGTATGGTTGAACCAAAGGCATGTAGGCGCTCGTTTCGCTCGTAAAATTGTGGTACCCTTTAGGACCCAACACATGAGCAAATTTGGCTTATATACGTCAATGTAGAACTTCCTTAACCAATGTGGGATTGGTGTCAAATCCCACATTACACAACTCTATTTTCACGTATGAAGATGGTCACTTTAGTGCCTATTTTCTCCTTCATTTTTTAATCAATTTAAATAAATGAATATACTATGTTATTCTTTTCATAGATTAGAACACAAATTCACGAAAGTTTACTCGAAATAACATGTGAGTCTCACTTTAATTTAGACTCAAAGTTGACCAAAAATTTAATTTTTACGCTTAAAAAGCTGTTTTGATCTAACTGTACTTATGTGTAAATCTATATAATTGTGTGCGTAATTTATATGGGTGTATGCGCGTGATTCTGTGTGGGTGTCTGTTGGAAAATCAGTTTGCGTGTGATTGTGTGTGTGTGTGCGCGCGCATGTGATAATGTGTGTGTGTGTGAGTGTGCAGATTGCGTATGCAGCGTGTTTGTGTGTGCAATGTGTGTTTGCATGTTATTCTGTGTGTGTGTGCAGTTTGCGTTTATAGTGTGTGTATGTGTGCAGTGTTTGTTTGCATGTGATTCTTTGTGCGTGTGGTCTGTCTCTGTTGTGAGTAGGAGAAGATAGAAAAATCAAGGGTTTTCGAAGAAAATAACAGTTTAGAATTTTAATAGAATTGTGAAACATTTTAAAATAAAATTATCGAATACATTTAACTACTAAATTTAAGTTAACAAAAACACCCTTATTCATCCACCAAATCAAGTCATGTANGTGTGTGCAGTTTGCGTTTATAGTGTGTGTATGTGTGCAGTGTTTGTTTGCATGTGACTCTTTGTGCGTGTGGTCTGTCTGTCTGTTGTGAGTAGGAGAAGATAGAGAAATCGAGGGTTTTCGAAGAAAATAACAGATTAGAGTTTTAATAGAATTGTGAAATATTTCAAAATAAAATTATCAAATACATTTAACTACTAAATTTAGGTTAACAAAAACACCCTTATTCATCTACCAAATCAAGTCATGTGAGTTAACTCGAACTGATCTCCTTGCTAATCTAAAAGTTCTGATCAATTAGTTTTGGCACCCGTGGAGATCAGTAGCTTCAGAATCAATGCTCAAAAGACAGAATCGAAGATCAAACACAAAATCATAAGTGACAACATGACAGGATATGTTATGCGGGTCAACGTTAGAAAAGATCACGATGAGATTCTATGTTGGACGATGTCCCACATGGCCACAAACATCATATAAGATGACGAACAATAAAAAGATGGGCTACAACCACGTGATCGATTAAAGAAGATTAATACCGCGAATAAAGTTATGGTACGAAAAAAATTTGAAAATATTATAACAAAAAGAATTTGTAATAATAAATTTTCGTACTTATAATATAGTAAAGTTTAGTACTTTTTTTTTTTTTATAAAAAAAATACATTTTTATATTTTATTGAATGAAAATAAAAGGTATAATATCAAAAAAGTTGAACCCCACAAAAGTGCATGTTATCTGTTCACCATGAGAATCCCACGACAGTGATATTCATCTTGGCGTGTTGGTGACTCGTGTTTGTTCTATCATTTGATAACCGTGTCTGAAGGAATTTTCTATTCCCGGAAAAGGATTAAAACTTAAAGGTGAAGTATATATAGCTGGTCCTCAACCTTTTCTTTTTGGATGGTGGGTGGGGAGAGGGGGAAATACACTTGCGATAATAATTAAATGAAACAACTTTAGTTACACTGTTGGTAGATTGGCATGTCTTTAAGGACACATCGTGCATCACACACTAGATTAGTACTGATTAGTATTTCTCCCGTACCACTTCCAGCAAATTGCATGGGTGGGTTGTTGGGAATTCTTTGCAGATCATTACAGTAACCGATCTTTGATACCTTTCACATAGAATCTCATGATGATAATGAAGCTACAATAAAATTAAGCTCATTTTTTACCATACAAATCATGTGAGTTTCATCGAAGAATGCTTTGAAAGTAGGTGTATTAATCGAGTCGAGTTTTATAAGTTTGAGTCTGAGCCGAGTCCGAGCTTGTCAAACTCGTTTTTTTTAAACGAGTCTAAAAAATTATTTAAATTCAGCTTGTTTAGAACTCAACCCGAGGTTGAGCCCGAACCTGGACTGAACCCGATTAGTTCGACTATTTTACATATATAAATGAGCCAAATTTTACGAACTTAAATCGAGCCTAAAAAATAATTCAAGTTCAATTCGTTTAAAACATGAGTCAAGCCCGAGACGAGTCTTATCCAAACCAAACATAAGCAGCTCGTTTAAATTAACACCTTTAACCGAACACATTTCTTTCCGATCAGTTCATGAAGGGGATAGTGTGGTAAGTCCCAGAGGCATTTCTTCTTCCTTTTTGTACGGACATAAAGTGGGAGTTTATTGGCATGTTGGCTATGAAGGATAAGAAAACCTTTGTCAGTATTCTTCCCTTTAAAATTTTATCATTTATTGCAATTCTATCAAGCTTTCGGTCACATCGGAAATATTGAGATCTAAAACTTTGGCCAAATACTCTTATTCGATCTAGTAATGTTATACAGACTAAATTTTTTGGACCAAATTTAGAACCCAAATAACTTGACAGCTAATTTGAATTTCTTTATTTGATGTCATGTCATTTGAATAAAAAAAAAATATATATATCATTTGAACCCCAATAAAAACTATTCAATAATGTAAGGTGATATTGACAAACTTTTACCGATAACAGAACTGAAAAATTGAAAGTAAAGGACCAAATAGAAAATATTAATTGAAAGTACTTAAAACTTTGAAGGGGGCAACATAAAAATTAACTAAATTACAAGGGTCAAAATTTGAATTTTTGAGACTTAAGCGGGCGATATTTCTATATAATTAGATCAATATTTTATGTCAAAAATTTTAGATCTCAATATCACTTTTTAATAATAATTAATTTGAATTGATGAGTACTACTATCGAATTTGAATTTGTTATAGCAACGCTATCTAATTAGATAAACACAACACTTTTTCTGCCTTCCTTGGCATATGTTCTAGTACAATTTATAAAAGTTTTGTAATGTGATTCTTTTATTATTTTTTTGTCAAAAGACAATCTACTAACACTAACGAAAAAACTAACGAAAAGTTAAAAGATGGGTCACATTATAACACTTTTGATACATTAAAGGTATAAAATAAAAAATTTAAAATCTTTAAAGGTATAAAGTGCAATTTGCTAGTTTTCTTTTTGGGGACTTACAACTGTAAAAAGCTCACATGGTGGAAAAGGGGGAGAATTTTGCAAAATTCCCATACCACCCTCTCTTTAGGACTGGTGATATACTTGCTTTGGGTCCAGTTGTTTTAAGTATGGTTGAGGTCTAGGGTTAGTGATGTCAATTTTTTCTTATCGTGTCATATTGGAATTGTATTATTTTATATTTGTATTGAGGATTAGTTACAATAACTCTAACCATTTAAATCATTGAAACACATGTTTTGATACAAACTCGACTTATTTATTGATTGTGTTATGTTTAGGTTGATGCGTTTAATGAGTAAACCCATCGAAGTACTAAGCACGAGATATTGCCAACTCAACATTGAAAATTTGTGTTTGAAACTAACTTGATCCCTTCGTCATTTGTGTTATAGATCGTGCAACTGTCATAGTTGCGTCCAGACCTACTCACTCATCACTAATTTCAAGTTACATTTGTATCGACCAAAGAATTAGTCATGCATTATCGTAATCATCATATTGCATGCCTAAGGTCAATGATGTCATTTTGAGAACATTCCATTCGTACATGATCACATTTTGCATGTTTATCTCTGTAGAGTTAGACACAAAGTATTTATCTTGCAATGTATCAAGAATAACTTTAAAATCCACAATATATTTTGGAACATTCCTTCAGTCATTTTCCCCATCTGCTGAACAGTGACAAGCACTACCATTATGCTACTATATATAGCCTCCAAGGCAGTCCAAGTTTCTCACAGCCAAGCTTCATACAAATCTTATCTACCTTAACAAGATCTTAACACCACCCGAGTCGAGTTATACGTTATTTAGATTCGACGATTAACCTTTTGATCTTATTCGCCTCAGCATTTCTTTCCTAGCTCCACATTCTTCTACTGTAGCAATGGATGCTGTGAAGAGGTTGGCTGAGGCAAACCCCGTGGTGATCTTCAGCAAAAGCTCTTGTTCCATGACAGACTACGTTGGGACACTGATACGCAATTTTGGGGCAAACACTACAGTTTATGAGCTCGATGGATTCCAAAATGGACAGCAAATGGAGAGGGCACTGCTGACATTAGGATGTAACCCGAGTGTACCTGCGGTGTTTATAGGGAATGAATTGGTTGGTGGTGCTAAGGAGATCACCAGCCTCAATGTCAGGGGAAAGCTTAAACAACGGCTCATAGACGCTGGTGCAATATGGGTTTAGAATGCAATACATAAGATCCAACTATAATACTATGTCAGTCCAATTATGAGTACTGTTTTGCTTCGGTACTAAAAGAAAATAGGCATGGTATAAGTAGTTATTGAGCCTCTTTGTGTAATAAGTTCCACGACTAGTTATGTGGTACTATTTGCATATGTATTTCTCTTATTAAATAAGAAATGTTGGAGAATAAAATGGAAAATAGTCCTCATCTTTAAGTATGTGATGATCTGTGACATGCATCGCAATGATCTTCAAATGCACACACAAATAGAGAAAGAGAATTATAACTCAAATTCGAACCATTACAACAATTTGTAATGGTTTTGATGATGGTTGTGATGGTTTATCAGACACAAAACTCACCAATTTACGTCCCACATCTTAATCAGATCGCTTGCACTCCTACTTCCTTTATCATTGAGCGGTTATTTAGGATTGTATCCATCTAGTTATATACATTATGGAGATTTTCTTACACTTTTTGTTATTTGCAATAGAACAACCAACTTGGTAACAATGTCTGATCATAAATCTCAATAATACCACGTATGGAGGACTTACAAGCTGATCATGATCAGTCGTTATTAGGTGTTATGGAATATTTTATCACACACTTTAAATCAAATAATGCTTAAAAAAAATATATTCTTGCATTAGAATTTTTTTTTTTTTTGCATTAGCAAATAAATAGTTAGGGACGGAACCAAAATTCTATCACAAGGGGAGTCAAAAAATAACATAGTTAAGAATTTTATTTTTCTGGATAAATTTGTTGTTAAGCGAAATTTATCAAAATTAATTCGCATACAATACCATTGTAATAATTAATTTCAATTACAAAATTCATTTATCAGTCTCACCATCATAGAAATGAGCTTGTGATAATGTGATGATCCTCTTATTCTCTCATTATAATATGATGTCATGATTTAAAAAAAATTATTTTCACAAATAATAGTTCGCAGAATACGATAATAAAAGTGTCATAAGTCATAACATTACTTTTTATATAATTCACTTTATAATTTAATTTTGCAAAAATTTCATAATTTTTTTTAAAAATTTTCTATAGTTATCATAAGACCACCACTCCTCTATAGATTGCATCCCCTATTTAACTATTAAATATCCATTCATTAGTCTTCTTAAATATAATAAGTAAATTGTCTATGTATAAGGTTTTTTAGAATACGTAAAACTTTTATTTCTTGTAGTGAAGGATGGGACATGTCCTGGTACTAGCAAGGTCGGGCAAAAAACAATTCACCAGACTATGCCCGCCCGGTCTAAATAAGAAAACAAACTTGTATTGATGGTTCATAGGAGTTACATCGCGATGACTACGAAAAATAGGGTACAAATCCCCTTCAATATTTTTTATTTTATTTTTATTTTTTATAAGTGAGTTTTAGGATTATATACGTTGAATTATCTACCCTTAAAGAAGATTATACAAAAACGTACTTGAGAGTATCTCACAAAAAATGAGAATCACACGCGAGTTATATATATTCACAGTGGATTGCATACTACGACAGATTTCTATCAATCAAAGATTTAGAGAATAAGAAATCTGGGCACAAGGAATATCAGATGATTGATATAAGTGAGTTGTCTTTATTCTGTATTCTGATACCACACTGTCTCAAAGAAGTTTCTCTCTTTTGCAACCCCAAAAAGCTGTGAAGTTTAAATTGAAGAACATAGATGGTCTTCAACATTTTTTCATTTACACACACAGAGAGAGACTTTAGTCGACGCGTCTACCTTAGGACATAATATGGAGTGTTGGGATTTAACACGATTTAAATCAACTAACAAACACATACAATCAAAGAACAAATCAAGAATATAAAGCAATAAGAAACAAGAAAGAACGAGACACAGATTTTACGTGGTTCGGCAATTTGCCTACGTCCACGAAGCTGTAGGAATTTCACTATTGAGAGAGTTGAATACCGAAAGCGGCTGTACAATCCACAATTAACTCTAATCACCAAAACAACAGGGTTTATATGTCCTACGCACTGGGCTGTATAACGGGCCCAAATCTTCGTTCCATGGACTAAGCCTCAGAAAATTTTTTATTAAAAACCACACAATATTACTTCGGGTCGAATCATCGTCCGAATCATATATACAAACTAGACTCCATAAAAAAAACCAACATGGAGTGCAAGGTCGAGTCCTAGCATGACACACGTACTAGATTAGTATTCCTAACCTACAATTTCCAGCTAACTACATGCATGCGGTTCTTGGGAATACTTTACAGATCATTACTTTAAGGGGTCCGGTAATGAAAACAACTTTTTGGTCTGTACCTCCGTTTTTCATCCAATAAAATTGTGGCATATATAAGCTTTTCTTTTTTCTTTTATTATTATTATTATTATTACTTTATATTTGGTATCTTAGACTTATCCTTATAAAACCGACCATATTGTGCCTAATTGGCAGTTTTCACATAGAATCGAAGGATCACAATGACATTACAACATAATTCATCACATTGTTTACTATACCAATCATGTGAGTTTTACCAAGGAATATCTCTGAGGCATAGATAGTCAGTTGAATAATTATGTAGAAGTGGGTAGTGTGGTAGGCCCTCAGGGTATCTTGTTCTTTTTCCTTCTTGTACGGACGTTACATGGAGTTTGTTATCTTGCTATACATGCTCTTAAGGATAAATTCTTTCCTTTAAAGTTCTCCACTTTCTGTCATTCTATGAATTGGATGCAAATCGATCTGTTGTGGAAGATGGTTGACCTAATTGGATAAACAAACACAATTTATTTTTCTCTTCCTCAACAAATGCTCCAATAGTAGTCTATAGAAGCTCCCCATCTCTGTTCGGTTCTATAAACCTGGAGATGTCGGATTTATAAAACCGGGAGGTATGTCAACTGATAAGATCTCAATGGAAAAAGTCCAGCAATTGCATTTTCAATAATGTTATTAGATAATATTAGCTATCACATCGTTAGGTTAGTAATTTAGGTTATATTTTTATGTCACAATAATATTACCCTAAAAGCCGATACAGTGGGGGAAAAACAGTAAATTACCCTACCATCCTTGATATCCATGTTCTTCCTTCCAATTGTTTTTATGTTTACCTTAAGGTAACACTTTTTGACCAAACACAAAATTAGTGGTTACAATTACTTGGTTCTTGATACGAATATGAAAATGACAGTTTAGTACATGTATTAAATGCATTTTTTTATTTATGGAGGACTAGTGTTCAGTGGGTTTAGTTTAGAAATTTTTGTTCCCGTGTTATACACGTCGATACAAATACAAAACATAAATATATGGAGTTAGTGTCATGATATCAATTACATAAGTCGAATCAGGATTAACCAACATTAAACGCGGACCCAAAATTATACCATCCGAGGACCTAACAAGCTGAGACTAGTTAATACCCAACTGGGAATGGTTAAGGTTAATAATTGCTAATGCATGTTTGTAAACATCATATAGACTAGGTAAGGTTTATGATGTCATTTTGATAATATGCTAATCTTGCTTGGTCACATTATGCATGTTAGTCCCTGTAGAGTGAGACACAGAAAGTCTCTATCAGGTAATGATCAAGAATAACTTTAAAAGCTTGTCACATTTTGCATGTTAATCCCTGTAGAGTGAGACACAGAAAGTCTCTATCAGGTAATGATCAAGAATAACTTTAAAAACCCACAACATATTTTGGAATATTTCTCGAGTCTTTTCTCCCATTTGCCATACAGTGCCAACCCACCACCACCTTCAGGCTAGTATATATAGACTCCATGGCAGGCCAAGTTTCTCACATCCATCACTAAATTCCCTTCACAGTTCATAAGCTTCGTACAGATCTTACCTTATCAATAACTCATCCAACCCGACTCAATTTCGTCACTGACTTAATATTTTGCTACCATCTTCATTTTTTTCTGTTTCCAGTGATGGATGATGTGAAGAGGTTGGCAGAGGCGAATCCTGTGGTGATCTTCAGCAAAAGCTCTTGTTGCATGACGGACTACGTTGAGAAGCTGATACGCAATTTTGGGGCTAACCCTGCAGTTTACGAGCTCGAAGTAATGGAAAATGGAAAACAAATGGAGAGGGCACTGCTGTCTTTAGGATGTAACCCGAGCGTACCGGCGGTGTACATCGGAAAGGAATTGGTTGGGGGTGCTAAGGAGGTCACCAGCCTCAATGTCAGGGGAGAGCTTAAACAACGGCTCATAAACGCCCATGCTATATGGGTTTAGGACACACTATGTAGGACCCAGCTCTAATACTATGCTATACTTATAGGAGAGGTATAAGTAGTTATCGAGCCTCTTTTTGTAGTGAAAACTACAAAGTTCAATAACGAGTTATGTATTTTTCTTACTAAATAAAGTTATATATTGCGTTATACTGGTTTTATTATCATATAAGCACACTGAAAATGATGGAGAAACTGAACATTATCTAATCATCAGAATATAACAACAATATATAGCACACTAGGGAAGATCACATGACTTACAAGCTGAGAATTACTATATATTATCTAATTATTNATTTTTTTTTTTTTTGCATTAGCAAATAAATAGTTAGGGACGGAACCAAAATTCTATCACAAGGGGAGTCAAAAAATAACATAGTTAAGAATTTTATTTTTCTGGATAAATTTGTTGTTAAGCGAAATTTATCAAAATTAATTCGCATACAATACCATTGTAATAATTAATTTCAATTACAAAATTCATTTATCAGTCTCACCATCATAGAAATGAGCTTGTGATAATGTGATGATCCTCTTATTCTCTCATTATAATATGATGTCATGATTTAAAAAAAATTATTTTCACAAATAATAGTTCGCAGAATACGATAATAAAAGTGTCATAAGTCATAACATTACTTTTTATATAATTCACTTTATAATTTAATTTTGCAAAAATTTCATAATTTTTTTTAAAAATTTTCTATAGTTATCATAAGACCACCACTCCTCTATAGATTGCATCCCCTATTTAACTATTAAATATCCATTCATTAGTCTTCTTAAATATAATAAGTAAATTGTCTATGTATAAGGTTTTTTAGAATACGTAAAACTTTTATTTCTTGTAGTGAAGGAT